TTGTAACATGTGGCTGTGAATCCTAGACAATTTATAAGCAAGCAAAACTGTTTCTTGGGGCCTCGGAGATGTGCTGTTATAGAAGGATCCTTACATTTCCTTGGACAACCAAAAAACCTGATATTTCGAAGGAAACGAGCGCTCAAAGAAAATTATCACAAACATCAGAAAAAGAGTCATCATTTTTGGTCATGTTATGAGAAGAAAGAAACTGTCGGACCTGGAAACATCTGATTGGGGGGGGGGGGGGGTGGGAAAAGGGGGGGGGGGGGGGGCAAAGTAAGACAGCTTTAGAAGATTATTAATAGCCTTTTGTCGTGAAATGCAATTTTAAAAAAAAATTTAAAAAAAAAATACAGAAAATCTCTGCAATCTTTCTCTATTAACCGAGACGAGTAAAAGGATTCTTAAAACCTATATAAATCCTACCTTGATGTACAGAAGAGAAACATGGATAGTTGGTAGATCAGTAAACAATTACTCGAAGCTTCAGAGATGTGGTTTTATAGACGAATGATGAAAATACATTAGACTGTTAAAAAAAAAATACTTGGTAATGAAGATGTATTGAAAGAAACTGAATCACCAAGAGAAGTGATTGCCAACATCAAAATGAGACAATCTACATTCTTTGGTCATGTGATGAGGAGAAGAAAACTGGACTATATCGTGAATGTAGGATAGCTGGAGGTGAAGAGAGGCAGAGGGAGACCGAGAGAAAAGATGCTGGACAGTTTGACATCATGGCATGGAGGATCATCTATATCAGAGTAGAGTGAAGTACATGAGACAGATTGTTGTGGGTAGACATGACCACCAAAGCCACACAGCAAGAACATTAAGAGGGAGCAGTCGTGGCATGCAGGGGTGTCTGTTTCCATGTAAGTTTAGACATCACGACCTGTCTGAAATAAACTCGTTCTACGGTCAGCTCACTTGTCTCCTGCTGTTCTCTACTTAAGATGCCACTTATACCCTGTGCCCATCTGAGCGCTAGTCGGCCCCCTGCCCCTCTTTCCTGGTACCATGCCTTCTGCCATTATTTTTTTCCTAATTCGCCATTGCGCTTGATCTGGCCACAATATTGCAGTTTCATGAGATAAGATGCTGTTTACGAGCCAATCTTCCTGGATGTTTTTTTTTAGAATGTAAGTATTTTTTTTTCTTCGTTGTCCATAGTTTTCTGAGAATCTTTTTATAGCATTTCAGCCGAAAAATCCATATTTTCTTCCTTATAGGCACGTACTTACTTTTTTGAAATCTAAGTTCAAAATCCTCAACTGTTTATAAAATTAGTCTGGATTACTAGTCCTTGATTAGTCCTGGATTACTAGTCCTTGATTAGTCCTGGATTATTAGTCCTGGATTACTAGTCCTTGATTAGTCCTGGATTACTAGTCCTTGATTAGTCCTGGAATACTAGTCCTTGATTAGTCCTGGATTACAGGTCCTTGATTAGTCCTGGATTACTAGACCTTGATTAGTCCTGGATTACTAGTCCTTGATTAGTCCTGGATTACAGGTCCTTGATTAGTCCTGGATTACAGGTCCTTGATTAGTCCTGGATTACAGGTCCTTGATTAGTCCTGGATTACAGGTCCTTGATTAGTCCTGGATTACAGGTCCTTGATTAGTCCTTGATTACTAGTCCTTGATTAGTCCTGGATTACTAGTCCTTGATTGGTCCTGGATTACTAGTCCTTGATTAGTCCTGGATTACTAGTCCTTGATTAGTCCTGGATTACTAGTCCTTGATTAGTCCTGGATTACTAGTCCTTGATTACTAGTCCTTGATTAGTCCTGGATTATTAGTCCTTGATTAGTCCTGGATTACTAGTCCTTGATTAGTCCTGGATTACTAAATTTCTGCCCCCCTCCCCCTTCCAGGACATAAAAGTCGGTGAGGAAGAAAACTTAACAATTCACCTCATTATACCATGCCATAGCATATGAGCAGACCACACCTGCACATACAGCTGTAGTTTTTTACAAGCAACCAAACACTACCTCAGCTTTAACTGTTACTCACTGAGGGAAAAAAAATGGAAGACTTCATGGTCTCGAGTGCTAGAGGTTACGGGTTCAATCCCCGGTAAGGGCTGGGATTTTTTCACGTAGATTTGGATTTCTAGTAATTCCCCCCGGTCTCTGATTGTTGTACACATAAAAAAAAATCGATTGGCAGTTGGAAATCGAAAAGAGGCCTAACGGCGCTGCTCGGCAAAATTTTGAGTTAAAACTCCACCTAAAGTATTTCAGGATCCTCGCCGGTGCTACAGTGCCTGTGCACTGTGCTGAGCTTCTTCGGACTTAGACTTGACTTAGAAGAAGAACGGAGCACTTATGGGTTACCACCCGTGAACCATGATGTTGATCAGTTGTTTAAACTTCAAAGAAAAATGAGATCTGCTGGCAGTTAAACCGCTTTCAGTTTCTGACGTGGCAAGCAATAAGGAAACTATTGTTTTGGGCACAAGGGTTATCTCTGGGGATTTAGTATCATGGAGGGCGTGTTAGTTTAAATGTTGTTTGTGTGATATGTCGCTGTTTGTTTGTGTGATATGTCGCTGTTTGTTTGTGTGATATGTCGCTGTTTGTTGGGTAAAAACGATAAATATTTGTAGTTTCGAAAACTACAAACACACATTTTTCTTTCTTGAAAACAATTATGAATTAGGGAAAGTTAAGATAAATCTGGGCAGTCGCTGTATCTAAAAACAATAAGGAATTCAGAAAATAAAGATAAATCAGAGCAGCCGCTGTATCTAAGGCAGAGGTTCTCAAACTGTGAGTCGCTACCACTTTGGGGGTCAAACGACCCTTTCACAGGGGTCGCCTTAGACCATTGGAAAATACATATTCACTGAAGTTATGAATTAGCATCGAAAATAATTTTATTGTTGGGGGTCACCACAACATGAGGAACCGTATTAAAAGGTCGCAGCATTAGGAACTGGTTTAAATGTTGTCTGTGTGATATGCTGTGTAAGAACGCCAAATATGTATAGTTTTGAAAACAAGCAATGCATATTTTTTCCCTTAAAAACAAGGATGAATTAAGGAAACAGTAGAAAATAAGAGAAACATCTGTGCAATCGCTTGTATCTAAGAGTTTATGAAAAAGAAGATAAATTAATGGGCTCATCCGCACGTGTTGGGTTAGGGGACCCCACTGTGAAGGGGGAAAGAAGAACAGACCCACTGCTTCCCTATCAAGCATATCGTAAGAGTCGATTAACTGGGGGTTTCCTTTGAAGTCAGAGAGAATCTGCCTAAGAGGCAAGGAACCAGCAAAAAAAAGAAGAAGAAGAAGAAGAAGAAGAAGAAGAAGAAGAAGAAGAAGAAGAAGAAGAAGAAGAAGAAGAAGAAGAAGAAGAAGAAGAAGAAGAAGAAGAAGAAGAAGAAGAAGAAGAAGAAGAAGAAGAAGAAGAAGAAGAAGAAGAAGAAGAAGAAGAAGAAGAAGAAGAAGAGAAGAAGAAAGAAGAAGAAGAAGACGAAGAAGAGAAGAAGAAGAAGAAGAAGAAGAAGAAGAAGAAGAAGAAGAAGAAGAAGAAGAAGAAGAAGAAGAAGAAGAAGAAAGAAGAAGAAGAAGAAGAAGAAGAAGAAGAAGAAGAAGAAGAAGAAGAAGAAGAAGAAGAAGAAGAAGAAGAAGAAAGAAGAAGAAGAAGAAGAAGAAGAAGAAGAAGAAGAAGAAGAAGAAGAAGAAGAAGAAGAAGAAGAAGAAGAAGAAGAAGAAAGAAGAAGAGAAGAAGAAGAAGAAGAAGAAGAAGAAGAAGAAGAAAGAAGAAGAAGAAGAAAGAAGAAGAAGAAGAAGAAGAAGAAAGAGAAGAAGAAGAAGAAGAAAGAAGAAGAAGAAGAAGAAGAAGAGAAGAAGAAGCAGAAGAAGAAGAAGAAGAAGAAGAAGAAGAAGAAGAAGAAGAAGAGAAGAAGAAGAAGAAGAAGAAAAGAAGAAGAAGAAGAAGTAAGAGAAGAAGAAGAAGAAGAAGAAGAAGAAGAAGAAGAAGAAGAAGAAGAAGAAGAAGAAGAAGAAGAAGAAGAAGAAGAAGAAGAAGAAGAAGAAGAAGAGAAGAAGAAGAAGAAGAAGAAGAAGAAGAAGAAGAAGAAGAAGAAGAAGAAGAAGAAAGAAGAAGAAGAAGAAGAAGAAGAGAAGAAGAAGAAGAAGAAGAAGAAGAAGAGAAGAAGAAGAAGAAGAAGAAGAAGAAGAAGAAGAAGAAGAAGAAGAAGAAGAAGAAGAAGAAGAAGAAGAAGAAGAAGAAGAAGAAGAAGAAGAAGAAGAAGAAGAAGAAGAAGAAGAAGAAGAAGAAGAAGAAGAAGAAGAAGAAGAAGAAGAAGAAGAAGAAGAAGAAGAGAAAGAAGAAGAAGAAAGAAGAAGAAGAAGAAGAAGAAGAAGAAGAAGAAGAAGAAGAAGAAGAAGAGAAGAAGAAGAAGAAGAAGAAGAGAGAAGAAGAAGAAGAAGAAGAAGAAGAAGAAGAAGAAGAAGAAGAAGAAGAAGAAGAAAAAGAAGAAGAAGAAGAAGAAGAAGAAGAAGAAGAAGAAGAAGAAGAAGAAGAAGAAGAAGAAGAAGAAGAAGAAGAAGAAGAAGAAGAAGAAGAAGAAGAAGAAGAGAGAAGAAGAAGAAAAAGAAGAAGAAGAAGAAGAAGAAGAAGAAGAAGAAGAAGAAAAGAAGAAGAAGAAGAAGAAGAAGAAGAAGAAGAAGAAGAAGAAGAAGAAGTAGATATTGGGGCACCACACAACTATTACAAAATACCCTTAAGTTCAGTGTGAGTGAGTGATGACTATTATACCGAGTATCTTGGTGCTTGTCACTCTCTTTTCTATAATGTCTGCTTCTTTCGTGGGTCCAAAGATTATCCCTTACTCTATTGTCAAATGTTTGTAATAAGACCTAACCCTAACCCTAAACACACACCCTAAGCCTAACCCTAACCCTAAACTCTAACCACACACCCTAAGCCTAACCCTAACCAAGAAAGTAATTATGTTCTTGTTTACCACTGCAGGTTTGCTGTCGTCCAGTGCCAATGACCAGAAGCCTCAGAACGTCTTCAAACGAGAGATGTTTCTCAGTGGAGAAGTGGCCAACTGCTTCAAAGTCCCTAACTACCTCAACCTGGCTGTGAACGACACACTCATGATACCACAACATGGCTGGACCAGGATAGAGTCAGCCATCAATGACAGTTGGTCATCGTACCTTTTGTTAATTTATAAATGTTTAGTTACTTTAACATCCTCATCAACACCATCATCATCATCATCATCACCCTCTCGTGTCTATTATACGAGTGTCAGAACTTCAACTAGCCAGACAGTTGGATTTCTCTCAAAGATGCTTCACCTAAGGACATTTTTGTATTCTTTTTCGCAATTATAACACTGTCTTTTCATGTAATGTGTTGATGAAGACTTTCTAACTGCAACGTTCACTTGTCGTCTGTAATTATGATAGTTCAACCTTTCCTTTCGTTTGATATCTTTTCATGATATCTTTGGTTTGAATGTCCCAAAGAGCAGGCAGGCTAATACTTCACTCCACAGTATCCTCTGAAACCCTCTCGACATCATGGATGGACTCCACTCCAGCATCTTTGGCCTCACCCAACAATGTTCGTCTCAAGGTTTATCTTTGATGTCTCGTATCCTCATCTCATTTGTTTCCCATTTCAGCGATTGTTCGGCGATTCTGTGTCTGTAATCTTCAGGATATGCCCAATATATTACCATCACTTTTGTCTGTAATCTTCAGGATATGCTCAATATATTACCATCACTTTTGTCTGTAATCTTCAGGATATACCCAATATATTACCATCACTTTTGTCTGTAATCTTCAGGATATGCTTAATATATTACCATCACTTTTGTCTGTAATCTTCAGGATATGCTTAATATATTACCATCACCTTTGTCTGTAATCTTCAGGATATGCTTAATATATTACCATGACTTTCGTCTTCTCACTTCCTTAATCCCTTTATTCCCTATTCTAGTGCCTATTTGGCGATTCTTGCCTCATCTCTTCTCAGGATTTGTAAAATATAGATTATCTTCTTTGGCGTATAACTGATGATACCACGAGTTGTTGAGACATTTCTCTTATTTCTGTGCCCTTCTTGAAGAAAAGTCCCATTCAATGTTCACCAGTATCCCCAGGCAATTGTTGCCTGAGGTCGCGTGGACAAAGAGCTAATTACTTCAGCTCATCTCACCTCACTACATCTCACCTCACTACATCTCACCTCACTACATCTCACCTCACTACATCTCACCTCACTACATTTAACCTCACAACATCTCACCTCACTACATCTCACCTCACTACATCTCACCTCACCTCGTAATGACAAGATGTGGAATATGGGAAAACCTGACACTTGTCTCAGTATCTGTCATATGGTTATTTTTATCTTTGCCTTCTCTAGTTCTCTCTTCATGGATGGCTGTCAATGATCATGCCTTTGGTCTAGGAGGGAAGATCCCACAGGTGGATAGATCACTGCTGCTCTGATCTGGTATCTTCTGCAGCATGCTTTGCTTCGCACCTACTGTGTTACCTTTACTTTGGAATAAACAAGGCAGGCCAAGTAAGGGATGGCGATTCAGTGGTCATCACACCGTCTCTAAAATATTGCTCAGGCTTTGTGCTCCGAGGAGGACAAGCTCCATTTCTGGCCTTGATTGGCAGCGGAATGAAAATTCAGAGGTAGAAGTTACGGGTTATGGGTGTCAATAATACCTGTGGGTTTACATGACCTCGGAGAAAAGCTTGTCGAAGCATGTCCATGCAATATTCGATGTCAAAATAGGAGCCATTGTAACCACTTCTCTTAGAAAAATCAGTAGAGGTTAGTTAGTTAGGTTAAAGTTCTGAGAATCACTTGATTGCAACCGATTTAATCCCATATGTCTCGGTCAGTCTCCGCAGAAAAGCTCGTGCGTAATTGGCGGGTCTAACTATGTTTGGGGAGATTTGTGTAATGTTTACCGAAAAAGTTAAAACAAATCTTGTGGGTGTATGTCCTATGCTATTTCGCTCGTCTCAGGCATTCTCAAGCAATTGAGATTTTTTTGCTCATCTTTCAGGTGTATCAAATGAGACATACAAGGGGATTTTGCCAAATCTTATAGTTGGCCCATTTTACGTCAATTTGGCCATGATTTTACAGCGAATGGGGATCCCATATTTGGTGACAGATTACAAAGGTAAGTTATGGTCTCTTTCTACGCCAGTGGTGGTTCACGCATTTGCTGCAAGATCAACAAACTATTGAAGATAACACATTGTTGTAATTAAATTAATAAGAAAGAGGTGATCACTCTAAATCACAGGCTTGGATTTGACTGATGAGTGCTTCTCGCACGGATGGCTGTATGTAGGATTGTCAAGAATGACAAATTCAAATGATAGCCTAGTGTTTGGTCACTGGCCTGCCGATACCAGGGTCGTGGGTTCAAATCCGCATTGAGGATATTCGATTTTTATATATTTTTTTTAATCGACAAACAGTTTATTACATCACATTAGACAGCATAGCATAACATATGATAATGAATACACGTTCGTCTTGCAATTCGTGCAAACAACAAACAGCTATTTAGAGTTGCTAACAAGTAACAAGTGAAGGACCCTTTTCGACGCGTTTCAGACGTATTGAGTATATAGGGCTAGACCTATATTTTTTTAGACCAACGAACAAGATGGGTGATGTGGTCAGCATTACGCCGGCCGCCTTTACTTTCCAGGACTGCACCTGGTATCCACTCAAGGCTGGGTCAATCTGGGAGCGAAGGTCATTTTCGAGAAAGAAAAAAAAGTCAGGCTTCGCCAGGAAGCAAACCCACGACCTTCCGATCCACAGGCGAGCGTTTAGCTTTAGAGTTACTGAGGTTCACAAATGCTCCACTGAGCACAGCTCAAGGTAAAGCTCTGCTGTCTGCCACACAACCTAAAGTATACGTCATCCAGTAAAGTAAAGTAAAGATCCCTTTTCACGCCTTTAGGCGCATAGGGCATATGGGAAGAGCACCCTTATTTTACAGACTAATCGACACTAGGTGGGTAATGTGGTCAGCATTACGCCGGCAGTCTTTACTTTCCCAGGACATATATTCTGGTACCCATTTGAGGCTGGGTCTACCTGGGACGCTCCATCATCATCATCAGGTGCCTTGCCGACTGGAGTGGGCGATCATGCCTCTCCACAATCTGCGATCTCCTGATGTATGTATTAATTCGTTTGCTGACATACCTCCATTCCATGCAACAAGACTGTCAAGAATCTTCTCTCGTCGTCTTCCTCTATCCCTCCTTACACAGATTTTTCCAGTGGTCATAACATGTTCCATTTTTCCTCTTCTCATAACATGGCTGAAACAAAATCAACGCAGCCAACAGTGGTTTTCGATCGTGGTACGTTGGAATTACGAGTCAGACACGCAACGCCTAAGGCACGGACGCCGCCTACGTCATTCAGTTAATTAGGATGGTAGTCTCTGATGCTCACAGCGTATAGCTAGGTCATTGCTGCCTAGAACATCGTGCTGCTGACGTCACCAGGTCGGGCGAACGATGCGTTAACGCAGCGGTTCTCAAACAAAAAATAAAACTCTTTTCGACTGTGGCGAGGGAAGACAATTTAAATTTTTAACGTTTAAGTATCTACATGCCTTGTTGAATAATTTCACAATTTATAGCTGACTTTTCTTGATTATTGCCGCGGCACCCCTGGCATACGCTCACAGCACCCCAGCAGTTTGAGAACCACTGCTCTAACTCATCGTCAGCTCGACACGGTGACGTTAGCAGCACGGCCCGCCTAGAAGGAGTTAGCACCAACTTGTGAATAAGCAATCAACCAATCTTAACACCGGAATTCATAACACGATTCCCAGCTACCACAGACTGGGAGTCGCCGTGGTGTAGCGGCCAGTGCTTGCCTGCGGATCGGAGAAGCGTGGGTTCCGAACCGGACTTTCTTCAGAAATAAAACTGGCTCCCAGGTCGACCCAGCCTTGAGTGGGTACCAAGTGTGACAGTAATTTCGGCTGGCGTGATGCTGACAACATCACCCACCAAGTGCCAGTTACTGTAACCCAATATTCTCAATACGCATGAAGGCGTGAAAAAGGGACCTTCACTTTACTTATGCCCGATCCACCATTGGCTGAAAAAAAAGTGCTTTACTATTTAACTATTTACATATGCAGTAGAAAGGGCAGAGGAACAACTGAGCACATCTTCACCTTACGTAACATTTTAGAACGATGCAATGAATGGCAGAGAAGTATATATATTAATTTTGTGGACTTTAAGAAAGCTTTTGACAGCGTCCATAGAGACGGTCACTGAAAAATTTTACGACATTATGGAATTCCAGAAAAAATAGTCAACATAATTGCTCTCTTCTATAAAGACTTTTCCTGCAGTATAAAATATTACAATACATCTTTCCCAGTAAAGACAAGTGTATGACAGGGATGTGTTATGTCGTCTCTTCTCTTCAACCTTATGATTGATTGGATACTAAAGAACACAGTAGACAAGACATTGAAAGGCATACGATGGACTCCCTTAATCATGCTTGAGGACCTTGATTTTGCAGATGATAGAGCACTCCTATCACATAAATATGAACATTTACAAGAGAAAAGTAACAGACTAAACTACACATCAGAAATGGTGGGACTGAGAATAAATACAAAGAAAACTAAGGTCATGACAAACAGTCCAAACCAACAACCAGTGACCACTTGAAAATGTAGAACATTTCACGTATCTTGGCAGTGTGGTGTCCCTACTGGGAGGGACAGAGGAAGACATACAGTCACGCCTGAACAAAGCTAGAGCTGCTTTTGAAAGGATGAGGCAAATCTGGAAATCCAACAGTAACTGTAGAGGAACAAAACTCCGACTCTACAAGAGCATCATTTTGCCAGTTCTTCTTTATGGAGCGGAATGCTGGAGAATGACCAAAAAGGATGTACACAAGCTGTCCACCTTCCACCACACATGTCTACATAGAATTGTAAAAATTGTTTGGCCAGATAAAATCTCAAACACTAAACTACTTCAAGTCACAAACCAAGAAACTCTAGACAGCATGATAACCAAAAGAAGATGGAAATGGCTTGGCCACGTTATGAGAATGAATCCTGATATACCTGCCAAAACAGCTCTCACATGAATACCAGAGGGAAAGAGAAAACAGGGGCGCACAAAAACAACATGGAGACGAAGGATGGAAAGTGACCTGAGTGCGGCATCTTTGACATGGAAAACTGCACTGAAGATTGCACAGTACAGGAAAGCATGGAAAGTCCTCTCTGAAGCCTCATGTGCCACTAGGCATAACGATAACTGATGATGATGATGATATGCAGTAGAAACTCCAGAGTTGTTTACCTCCTGATCCTAACTTATTTCACTGATTGGAAGCTCGTCCAGTTTTCTGAGTAGAATTTATTATTTAAAAAAAAGTTAGTTGTGTATCCTTTACAGGACGTTGTAGAACCAACCTCAGCATTTGTGTGTGTGCCTGTTGTGTTTTTTTTAGGCAAATCTTACATTCAATAGTTTGCCCTTGCCCCTGAAAGGTCAGCTCTCAGTACCACTGTCTAAAGCTATGCAAGACCAAATCGCATGCAGCTCGGATCGAACCCGCCACCCCGGCATTACAAAGCACCTTCGCAAAGCCTAAGCCACAGACGCCTTCTCTATACAGAAGACTTCCGTTTAATTTTGACCACACCTCTGTAAATTGTCTGCTACAGTCCCTTGGGTGACCATCTTATTGGGGTCATGCCTATCCAAAAAAGACTATGCCAGCGGTGTTACACATACACACACACACACACACACACACACACACATATATATATATATATATATATATATATATATATATATATATTTGTTTTTTTCTTTTTCGATACACGAAGGGTTTGACTGGATTGATATGAACAGAGTTCAAGACACCGTCAAGTGGAAAACGGTTGTGGAAATGAGGCCTCCAGTCCAGGCCCAGAACCTGGCAGTCTTGGATTTATTTCTGCACCGCAACTGGAAGAGCGCCATGATGGTCATGCCTGAGAGCGCCGCCGACAACCAAGGTCGGGTAGGCCTTCGCTGTCTTTGATGTTTCTAGTAGTAGTAGCAGCAGCAGCAGTAGCAGTTTTAGTTGAAGTAGTAGCAGTAGAGGGAGTAGTAGTGGTCGTGACAGTGATAGTTATAGTAGTAATAGTAATAATACTAGCATAGGCGTGGAAGTAGTTGTACTAATACTAGTAGAAGCAGTAAAAGTGATCGTAGATACAATAGTGGTGGTGGAGTAGTAGTAGTGGAAGGGTGGTAATTGTATTAGCAGTTGCAATGATGGTAGTTATGGTGGTCGTGGTAGTGGTAGTGGTGATGGTGGTAGTGGTGGTGCTAGTGGTAATAGTAGTGATAGTAGTAGTATCAGTGTGATGGTAATAGTAGTTGTAGAAGTACAAATAGTAGATATATTAGTAGGGTTGTTGATGGTGGTAGTAGTAGAAGTAGTAACACTAATATAAGTATTAGTAGTGATAGTTGTAGTGATGGTGGCGGTGTTGGTAGTAGTAGCAGCGATGATGGTGATATTGGTAGTCCACTTATGTTCTACAGTATCCAGTTTGTCAGTCTACAATAATAACACACAAATAAATCCAACAGAATGCCAAGATTTGATCGGACAACTGCTGAACCACAGTCTTTCGGTGATTCCATACACGGTGGACCCTAAGTCGCCGACGCTGACCGCATCCCTCAGAGAGTTCCTGATTAATGCCAAGATGTATCTGCAGACTCAGCTCCTTGTCTGTAGTCCTCGCGATCCCCGAGACAAGCTCATCGAAGCAGTTCTTACCCTGGTAGGATCTTTATTCTCCTGTAGATGTAGAAGTACGTGTTGTTTTATGCTGATGACAGCTTCCTGACCGCAACGTTTGTTCTGACATATGAAATTGTTTTAGAAAAAAAAGGCAATATACAGTATTTCCTCATTGTGAATTTAACAAAGAAGACATCCCAAAATGCTCTGCTATTAGAAAGCCACGATAATAAACAGCATGAGTACCACGATTGTGCAGACATAAGGACATGGTCGTGACCTTGCGTCTGCTATTGTGAAACAGACGTTACTTGTAAATGTAGTCGATTGTGTGTTTCAGTTAGAATGAGTCATTTATTTGTTTCATGTTTATCCATTGTTACTGTAGTATGCAACTAACTAGACACAACGAAACGTGTCAGGTAATAAATTGTGCAGACTGAGAGTTTATTTATTCAGATCAAACAGCTACCATTAATTTAGTCTATAATGATATAATTTAGCAATGAATGTACCAGTATTACTATACTTCAGAGACATGAATAGAGAGGCAGATAAAAGACAAACAAACAGGCTGAAAATAATGGCAGGTATCAAGAGTCTTACAGATGGAACAACGAAGAAACATATATTAGTGAAAATACACGGACAGACAGAAGACATGTAGGTAGGCAGATGCAGACAGACAGGCAAGCTGGCTGGCTGTCAGAAGACAGGCGGACGGACAAACCTACAAACAGATTGATAGACATCCATACACACACACACACATACATTCGACAGACAGACAGACAGACACAGAGTCATATGCGTGTAGCTTATACAACATTTACCATAGTACGGAAGTGTAAAATCTTTTTCCTTCTCATCTTCCATCTCATCCTCCTCTTCTTTTCTTCTTATTTTTCTTCTTATCCTTCTTCTTTTTTCTTTTTCGTTACTGCTTTCCTTTTTCATTTGTCCCAAAAATTATCTTTTTGGCGATTGTGACACATAAAACTGATTACTCTAGAACAAGGAATTCAAGTGAAATGTGACTAAAAAGCTTAACAAAAAGGGGAAGCAGAAAAAAAAAAGTGCAAAAAACAACGTTTCGGCTGATGGCCTTTCTCAAATAAGTAATGAACTACATATTTCTTGGCATTACCTTGACTGCAGTCACCCTCCAGATAACTATAGGGCAGTTGTCTCCGAGCTGCTGGGGCGCAAGGAGGCTTCAACGGGGGCGTCAAGCAAGTTTGAAATTGAGTTCATTTGTATTTCTAATAATGCGTTATATTTTTAAAGCCTAATTATAAATAACATATGTTTTGAACTATATATAAAACAAAAAGCCAATGAAACTGTTTGTTCAATAAGCAGTTTATATATCTAAAGTTTAAAATCTAATTAAAATGATAGCACCGGCAATTAATTATATATTAGGAATAAATTGTGACCAAAACGTGTCTCCATACTGTCTTTTTTCCTTGATGCTGAATCTATTGTCCTCCTTTTTGTAATCACATTGGGTGGGTGGAGAGTTGGTCCCTGCCATATACACAAGAAAAGGGGGGGGGGGGAAGCCGTAGCAGGTCTTGCAAAAAACTCAAGAGGGTGGGTGAAGGGTTTGTCCCTGCCATATACACAAGAAAGGGAGGGGGGGGGGGAGGCCGTAGCAGGTCTTGCAATAAACTCAAGGGGGTAATGGAGGGTTGGTCCCTGCCATATACACAAGAAATGGGGGGGGGGGGGGGAGAGGCCGTAGCAGGTCTTGCAATAAACTCAGGGGGGGGGGGGGGCGACCTGAAACATTTTGGAGACAACTGCTCTGCTGCACACAATCAAACCCATTTGATGTAATTTCTGATGATAAACTCCTGCTTTCTGCTTCGCACAAACAGGCTCGGCCATTTGGAATTCTCCAGGACAGGGAGTTTTCTTTCGTTATGGTTGATCCGGTAAGTAATTTCAAATGTTACTATTGATGATCGCATAAGTAATCAAATTTTGTTTTAAAAATGTTAAACACCAGACTTTATTTATTATTGTTGGATAAGAATAATTAATAACACTTTCTTTTACGGTATATTTGTGTAAGGGACTTCAGTTTCTTGTACAACTATTTCGTTTTGAATGCAAAACCAAACTATAATAGACCCTGTCCGGGCTCTTTATTTCTATTATTGAAAGATACAAAACCAAACGAAAAGTATACCAGCAAGCTTTACAATATGACGAAAACAAATGGAAGGTGAACGTTCCGGTTGCATAGCCTTCATCAGCACCTTACATTAATCAAACAAAAACCACACGAATACACAGGATCACTTAACTGAGGTATACATAAGCAGACACGACGTTGATGTCTTGCTAGTGGAAGGCAAAACTTAAATTGCATATTTTTTTTTCCAATGTGTATAAACAAAGGTGCAGGTACTCTCAATATGGTGTCTCAAAAATGTGCTGATACTCACTATAGAATGTCTGTTACACCAGTGCTGACAAAATCTCTGCCTGAGACAAGATGGCGGTGCGTCTTACCGTTATGTGAGGAAAGGACACTTTTCTACGCCTTTAGGCGTATAGGGAACATAGTGCTAGACCTATATTTTTATAGACAAATAACACTTGGCGGGTGATGTGGTCAGCATCACGCCGGTCGCCTTTACTTCCCGGGATTGCACCCGTACCCACTCAAGGCTGGGTCGACCTGGGGAAAAAGCCCTGGACATTGTAGTCGTAAAGAAACCAAGCGTTAAAATTCTCATATTTCGTACAGAACAGCTTTGTGTCGGCGTTTGTGGCCTATGCGTTGCAAACACGATTCAGAATACCGGGGTGCTGAGCTCGATCCCAGCTGCAGACGATTTGGCAGCAGACCTTCTTGTGTAGTATTGAGAGCAGACCGTGTAGTGGCAATAACAAACTACTGACCGTAAATTTGTAGAGAAAAACCACTACAGCCACACAAAATAAAAAGCTTATGTTGGTTCAAGACCGGCTCCAGCTGACGGGCCGTGCTGCTGACGTCACCGGGTCGGGCTAACGATGCGTTAACGCAGCGGTTCTCAAACGTGAAATATTCTCGTTTCGACAGAGGCGAGGGAAAACAAATTTCAACTTTTAAGTATCTACACGCCTTCTTTAATAATTGCACAGTTTGTAGCCGACTTTTCTTAATTATTGCCGCGGTATCCATGGAATACGCTGACGGCACCCCAGTGTTTGAAAACCGCTGCTTTAACGCATCGTTAGCCTGTCCTGGTGACGTTAGCAGCACGGCCCATCAGCTGCAGCCGGTCGAGGTTGGTTCCGCAATGTCCCTTAAAGGATATGGAACTAACTTTTTTTTTTAAATGTCAAAGCCAGTAGTGTTGTAACACTGAGCTGACAAACAGTGAACTGGTTCCAAACAACAGCAGGTGTCAGTCAGGGCTGCCTCCTCTGCCCAACACTGTTTAGTTTAGAAAGAATTATGACTGATGTCCTAGAAAAGCATCAAGGAAAAGTTAGTTAGAAAGAGAATCATAATAAACTTAAGGTTTGCAGACGACATCGAAATGGTGGCCGGGAAAGAACAAGAGCTAGTCAAACTTGCAAGTTTATTTAATCACACATCGAGCAGTAAGGCACATATACAAACACGGAAAAAACCAAAGTAAAGATTAATAATTCAACTGGCACAACTACACTAATATACGTAAAATGTCACAAATTACAAGACATTAATCATTTCAAATATTTAGGATCCATTTTCAGTGACGAATGGCCCAGACCAGAAATTATGTTTAGGATTTCCCAGACAACACCAGTCCTTGCCAAATAGCAAATATGGAGATACAAAAATATTTAATGCAAAACTAAGCTTTGGCTGCTTAGCTATTACAGTCAAGTCCACTTAAGGCGAACTCCGAAAAATGGAATTTCGGTTAAGTCGACATGACCAGCTTAGTCCCGGCAATTTTCTCTATTGTGGGTGTGCTGTCTGGATAAGTAGAAATCCTGATAAGTGGAAGCATTTTCTTAGGTCCCTGATTATCCAGACACGACTGTACTACATTTTCACATGGTTGTGAAACGTGGATCTTAACAACTGAACTCGACAAGAAGATACAAGTAGTGGATATTAGATCTTTCAGAAAGTTCTTGGCATATCCCACAGAGACCACATCACAAATGACGTGTATGTATCCAGTATGTGGACAACTTTAAACCTCTTTCAACTGCGAGGAAAAAGTAAAAAAAAAAAAAAATGCAATGGAACGGACGTGTAAGAAGATCTAACGGCTTCTCAAAAGCAATACTACAAGGTTCAGTAGAAAGGACCGAGGAGAAGAAGAGGAAGAAACAAGACAGTCAAAGAGAGACCTGGATACAAAACTTGACTGGCTCGACGGGCAACCATGAAGTCTATTGTATCTGACCGTCAAAGATGGAGGGGGCTGCTCAGACAGTCAACACTAGCTGATGACCCAGTGACACACAGTAATACTGGATGATGATGATGATGATAATGATGATGATGATAATGACGATAAAGATAATGATTATAATGATAGTGAGAATGATGATGATGATGATGCCGATGATGATGACAATGATGACGATAAAGTCTGTGACGATAATGATGATGTCTGTGACGATAATGATGATGTCTTTGACGATAATGATGATGTCTGTGACGATAATGATGATGTCTTTGACGATAATGATGATGTCTGTGAGGATAATGAGGATGTCTGTGACGATAATGATGATGTCTGTGACGATAATGATGATGTCTGTGACGATAATGATGATGTCTGTGACGATAATGATGATGTCTGTGACGATAATGATGATGTCTGTGACGATAATGATGATGTCTGTGACGATAATGATGATGTCTGTGACGATAATAATGATGTCTGTGACGATAATGAGGATGTCTGTGATGATAATGATGATGTCTGTGACGATAATGAATATGTCTGTGACGATAATAATGATGTCTGTGACGATAATGATGATGTCTGTGATGATAATGATGATGTCTGTGACGATAATGATGATGTCTGTGACGATAATGATGATGCCTGTGACGATAATGATGATGTCTGTGATGATAATGTCTGTGATGATAATGATGATGGTGAAAATGTTGATGCCAGTAAAGGTGCCTCCGAGATTTCATGCGTGTTTCTTAGACTAAAGTAATTCGAGTGGTGTGGTCAACATCACACCGACTGCCTTTACTTCCTGCGACATTACCTTATACCCATTTAAGGCTTGGTCGACCTGGTAGAGAAGGTCAATTTTGAAAGAAGGAAAACAACCAATCTGATGTGGATGTGAACCCACGACCGTTGGATCGACTGACGAGCGTCTAGCGACTATAACACCGAGGCTTCCTCTGTGCATAAAGATGAAAGAACAGTGTCCAAAACTGTTATATTAGTGATTACATTTATCAGTTGATTATGAACGCATTTGCTCTATTAGATTAAAATATTTTAATTACTTTATCTGGAATAGTTAATTTCTCCTTCTGACCACACACACACACACACACATATATATATATATATATATATATATATATATATATATATATATATATATATATATATATATATATATATATATATATATATATATATATATATATATATATATATATATATATATGCATTGATCATGCTAGGCACTGTTACATCGAGTACAGATATGCAATGATCGTGCCATGTACTGTTACATTAAGTATAGAAAAGAAATGATCGTGCCATGCACTGTTACATCGAGTACAGATATAAAATGATCGTGCCATGCACTGTTACAGTGAGTATAGAAAAGAAATGATCGTGCCATGCACTGTTACATCGAGTAGAGATATGCAATGATCGTGCCATGCACTGTTACATCGAGTAGAGATATGCAATGATCGTGCCATGCACTGTTACATCGAGTAGAGATATGCAATGATCGTGCCATGCACTGTTACATCGAGTAGAGATATGCAATGATCGTGCCATGCACTGTTACATCGAGTAGAGATATGCAATGATCGTGCCATGCACTGTTACATCGAGTAGAGATATGCAATGATCGTGCCATGCACTGTTACATCGAGTAGAGATATGCAATGATCGTGCCATGCACTGTTACATCGAGTAGAGATATGCAATGATCGTGCCATGCACTGTTACATCGAGTAGAGATATGCAATGATCGTGCCATGCACTGTTACATCGAGTAGAGACATGCAATGATCGTGCCATGCACTGTTACATCGAGTACAGATATAAAATGATCGTGTTATGCACTGTTACATCCAGTATTTACAAGGTCCGACAATTAAGTAATAAATTATTATGGTCAAGACAAAAATTCCATCTATGAATCAAAGCTTGATATCCAAAGAGGCAACCTTCGTCTATGATCCGGCAAATTTGCATTGCCGCTCGTTAAGCAGACAACAAACAAGCCGCCGTTTTGTTTACCTAGTCAAAGGTGCTTTGTTGCGTAATCAGCATGGAGCAAAAAAAAAAAAAAAAAAAGCTTACATTAAATTATGTTTAAAACTTAGAAAAAGAGCCATTGAGACAGTTGAATTATTGCGACAAGTTTATGAGGATAATTGTTAATCTCGTACACAGATTTTCAGCTGGTATTCGCGATTAAAAAATGGTGTTGAAATGACTATTAATGCAGCTAGGCCTGGACGCCCAATTTCTGTTCGTAATGAGGAACTTATTGCAAAATTCCGAGAACAGACACAAGAAGATAGTTGTTTGACTGTGAGGATGATGGCAGATAAATTTAGTGTTTATACAGAGGCTGTTCGTAAAATTTTAGTGGAAGATTTGGGCAAAAAAAAAAAAAAGTTGCTAGCAATTTTTGTTCCCCCTTTTTTCATGACAATGCAGCAGCTCAAAGGACCGTAGTTGTACATGAATTTTTCGCCCAAAAACAGATGCAGTTCTCATCCACCCTTTTCCAGAGAAGTGTCTCCGATCGACTATTTTCTATTCCCAAAATTTAAGTTGCCATTGAAAGGACACTTCTGTGACAATATTGATGCAACTAAAGGGCCGTAACATCGACTTTAAGGGTCATAACAATAGAAGAACTACATTGATCGTTCTAGTGCTTGTTAGATCGTGCCACTATCTGTATCAATGCACAAGAGGCTTACTTCGAATAAGATACAGGTTATATTTTCAAATATTGATTATTTTAAATTTTATGGAATTAGTCTCATTACGTAATTATCGGACCTTTTGTGTGTGTGTGTGTGTGCGTGCGTGTGCGTGTGTGTGTCTGTGTGTGTGTGTGAGAGAGAGAGAGAGAGATTATCGTGCCTAGAAATATTACACTAAGTATTTCCATGAAATGATGGTGCCTGAAACTCTTACACTGAGTATACATATGAAATGATCGTGTCCGGAGCTGTTACAATAATGAGTATAAACATGAAATGATGGTGTCCGGAACTGTTACAATAATGAGTATAAACATGAAATGATTGTATCCTAACAGAGCTCAGCCTTGGTTCCCCTGTCAGGAGCTGGCAACATGTACCGTCTAGGACTCTTCTCTTCCCGCTGTGAGCTGCTCGCCTTTCGCTACGTGTTTCCTGGCAACGATGACGCCACCTCATGCAGCCACGAGGACGCTGCCGCTAGCGATGCAGCCAGAGTTACCTCTTACGCTCTCAGTAAATACATCGCCGCCCAGCGGGTGGTGACAGACCAGTACTCAACAGAACGTTTCTTGGCTGCCTTGAAATCGGTAATGCACCTCTTGTTGTTTGTCATTTTTGTTAACTTTCGACTGAAAGGTGACTGATCGCTGACGCTCTAAATAATTTTTTGTTTCTGGCTAGGATTTTTTGACATTTTTAATGTTATGGCTGATGCACAAAAACCCTGCTAGTTACAAACACACCCATCCCACCCTTTTCTATGAGGTCTGAGCTCGTATCCTCATCATCGTCATTATCATCATTGTTATCATCATCACCATTATCATAATAATTATTATCATCATTTTTATTATAACTGTCATCATCATCATCATCATATTCACCACATTCATCATCGTCACCAAACTGCATGCATTTTACAGAACGTTTTTATAATTCCAGCAATACGGAAAGCAACTGTTAGCTCTGATAATTTTTCCGCCTTTCATGCCCAGAGTGTCGCTGATATATCGTGTCCATCCTTGTGCTACGCGAGCCCTTACACATCCTCCATGCATCGAACCAGCTATTTCTGTTCTCCACAACCATAATTGCGTTTATTATGCTAGAAGTGTTTCGGTTCACGAGAAACGATACTGTTTATCAGTCAACCTCTCCCCCCCCCCACCCCCACCCCACCTTCTACCCGATACTCAGACTGTGATGAATATCAGCATTTTTTTCCTTTTCTGGAACAGGACCACTTCTCGTCTAATCAATCAAGCAGGTGCCGTCATTAAAAAGAATATTGGCTGCAATAGATCTCCAGCATGCAGGCTTTCACCCTGGTTGTACACTCTCTCATACTGATGTCTGTACATATTTTGTTGTTATCCTCTCATGTTTGTTGCTGTCTGCCTCCTGGCAGTTTGCCTTCAACTTTTTCTTTAGGAAAGATTTTATTTTATTTTTTTTTATTCTACCTTTTGATACAGCAACAATGATTCACTTATCCTTTTCATCCGACAGTAACTCTCTTTTAATTCTCAGTCTTTTGAGAATCTTTGCAAGTAGGTGGATCACTACACTCAGAGGAAAGGCAAGACGGGCATTTAACTCAATTGTGACGGGCAAAATCAGTATTGGAACTCTGTGCTGGCTGCTGAAGAAGAGGATGGAACATGCATGGGAATTCCCCGAGTGCTGTGATGCATTTTTGACTCAGCTCAACTCTTTGCAAGTAAAGTAAAGAAAAGAAAAGGACCATCTTCCCTGCCTTCAGTCGTATTTGGCATACAGGGCTAGACCTATATTTTTTATAAACCAATAAGCACTCAGTAGGTGATTTTGTCAACATCTCACCGGCCACCTCAACTTTCCACAAATTTACCTGGTATATTTTTGAGGCTGTGACGACCTGGGAGCCAAGGTCATTTTAGAAAATTGTCTGGCTCCATCAGGACCCGGACCTCTACGAACGTCTAATCGCTACACTACAGCGGCTCCGATCAGAACCTTTGTATTTTATTGCTTTTGTTTGAGGAATACAATCTATTTACTGGCATATCTTAAGAAACTCAATACAGTTTCCCTATTGCTTGGTCAATGTCCTGGTCACGGCACCAAATAGCAGAACTAAGTGCACACAACAAGTGGCAATTCTAGTTTTTCGTGCGTTTTATTTTTCTATCTTGATATCAGAATTTTATTTTCTTGCTACTGTCTAATACTAATTTGTAATCCAATTATATAGGTGGTTTTACCAGAAGCTAGGAGCGGACATATCCAGTTTGACGCAACTGGCCAAAGAACAGACTACACACTCCAGCTGTATAATCATGGAGGAGAAGACATGTACAAATTAGTAAGTTTACATTTCAATGTCTTGGTTTGTAAGGCATATTAGTGACCATAACTCCACATTATTCAGACATGTAATATTTTAATGGGGTTCTTCTTCTATTTCTTCTTCTTCTTCTTCTTCTTCTTCTTCTTCTTCTTCTTCTTCTTCTTCTTCTTCTTGTTCTTGTTCTTGTTCTTCTTCTTCTTCTTCTTCTTCTTCTTCTTCTTCTTCTTCTTCTTCTTCTTCTTCTTCTTCTTCTTCTTCTTATTTAACTTCTTCTTCTTCTGCTTCTTCTTCTTTTCTTCTTTTTCTTCTTCTTCTCCTTTTCTTCTTCTTTCCCTTCTTCTTCTGCTGCTGCTGCTCCTGCTGCTTATGTTTTTTCTTCTTCCTTTTCTTTTAGGTTGACTTAGAAAATATTTTTTAAACGTTAGTCTGGATGCGGATCTGAACCCATGACGTGCTAGCCAGAATGTGAGCATCTTGCCACTAAACTACGCGGCTCCCTATACTGTTAATGTTTTATGATATATATATATATATATATATATATATATATATATATATATATATATATATATATATATATATATATATTTATTTTATATATATAGAACACTACTATATACTGTATAGTTGTATTCAATGCAGATTTTAAAACAAGTGACTCCTCATTGTTATTATTTTTTTATGTCCTCTGTTTGCTGTGTATTTATTTTCTGTTTATACTAGTTTGTGTGTGCATCGTTGTCAGTTTGAGTCAAATACTGATGAAGACTGTCGGCCGCAAACCCGATTTTATCTTTTGTGACTGCTGTATTTTCAAGCATACTACCTTTACTTCTTTTCTTGATTGCAATTTTTTTTCTCTCTCAATATTTTTTTTTAACATCTAGCTTCTGATGTCCTCTCTCGACTGTTTGTTATCGATCAATGAATCAATCAGATGCCGACACCACAATGAAGGATGGCCGCAATAGATCTTTAACAAGAGATATCACTTTTCTTTGTTGTACACTCTCTCAAGACTGTTATTCATTCATCTCTTTATGTTGTTGTTCTACTTGTATCATTGTCTGCTTCGTCCTTTTCTGTCTTCGACTTTTCTCCTGAGTATTGTTTTGTGATCACAATATTTCAATTGTCTCTGTTTTGATTTCTTTCAGTAATTTTTTTTAAATCTTTTCATTCGCAGTCTCCCCACGACCTATCCATTGATTATTTCTATTTCCATGAAACACAACCGATTCTTCTGTACATCCACATTTCCAGGGACTCAGTTGAAATTTTCTGATCATCTTATCTCATCTTGATCCTCTCGTAACTTGCGCTCTGATAGTCTTAGTTTCAGCTTCATAGTAAACGGGTCATCCCATCTTAACTTTGCTCCTGTGCCAACGAAAAACACGCACAATGTTTATCATAGTCCCTTGTGGTTAGATTGACATACTGCTGTCTCAGCATATCTAGCATACACACGCATTTAAGCATACGGTAGCCATCCAAAGTGCTAACACAAAAGTACGACATTAGAAATGCAGTTCATCATTGATGGTAGCAGAAGTCACCAACAGATCTGCAGTTGCCCATCCGATCAACCTTGCATTGTCGAGATGAAGTATATTTTACGAAAAAGTGCCCGTTTGTGCGTTTCGTAAATGTGGATTCACAGGAACTCTGTAATTCAGTCTGCATAGTCAGTCTCTTCTTCGCTTTCCGCCCGGTCTGCATAGATTACTTGTTCTGGTATACTGTTTGTTGGCATCCGCGTTATATGACCAAACCATTTTCATTTGTTCTCTACTGAAATCTACAGCTGCTAGTGTCCCATTTTCCTTCTGATTTCATTGTTTCTGATCTTATTTCTTCCTGTTATTTTAAGAGCCCTTCGCAAGGAACTCATTTCAGTTGTCACAGTTTTTTTTTAATTTTTATTTTCTGTTTTTGCCGAGCTCTGGCATTGATAGCCCATGGTTAGTAAGAAGATAGTGTCATAGGGATATCTTTAAGTATCCACTGACATATATTTCTCAATATTAGTGCCGTTTACCCGATGATTATGTTTGTTCCGTTCCTTCTGTCATCGATCTCGTCTTCTGATTTAACACCAGGTAGCTACCTGGAATCCTAATTTCCCAACGCCGGAGACGAGGTTGAACGTAACCGGTGACGATTCCCAAGAAAAAGACCTGGACGAGATGGGGATCTTCCCAGACATGGTGATGATTGTGGTTGTCGAGGTGAGCAGATAGCATTGACTGATAACATCGACACGGTCGTTGTTAATATCCAACGTTGATATATATATATATATAATCATGGTCATTCTTACGACATTGTCACAAGTAACATCAAACATCTATTTATATCATTGTCACTGTCACTTATAATATCCAACATTGATTTAAATCAACGACATTGTCACTAGTGACACCCAACACTGATTTATATCAATGTCATTGTCAGTAGTAACATCCAACACTGATTGATATAATCGACATTGTCACAAGTTATATCCGACACTGACTTATACCATAGACACTGTCACTAGTTATATGCAACATTGATTTATATTCCCGACATGTCATACATTATATGTTAATAATCGTTTAACTCTTCTGTTTCCCAGTAACGTGTCCCCCTTTGGTTTTAGGGACTCCAATGTGGTTTCAAGAGCTTCCATGAGGTTTCAGAAGCCCCCGTGTGGTTCCAGGGGCCGCCGTATGGTTTCAGGGGTTTCCGTGTGCTTTCACAGGCCACCGCATAGTTTCACAAACCCCCGCCCCCCCCCCGTATGGTTTCATGGGCGCCTATGTGGTTTTCAAGGGCATCCGTGTGGTTCCAGAGGCCTCCGTGTGGTTTCAGGGGCCCCATGGGGGAAAGGGGTGGTAGGTCCACTGCCCTGTAGCAACCATGTCGTAAGAGTCGACCAATTAGTGTGGTTCTCTTCGAAATCAGAGTGCATCTACATAAGAGGCAAGAAACCACTGTCTGCGTATATATGAGATCTGTAAAACAACAAGTGAACGCTAAGAAAATAAAAACCAAGAATGACATTGATTTGTATCATGAACATTGTCAAAAGTAATATCCCAGCATTAGATAATCGTATGTGAGGTATTATCACTACTTTATGTTGTGCTGTGTTATCACAATCGATGTCACTGCACACTGAGCATTCTCATGCATGGCAAGTCCTCCAAAGCAGCAGCCACTCCAAGAAACCTCTTGTCTCTTCTGTTACAGTGGCTCCCATCGTGACCTCGTAGACAATACCAAGCTTTACTCCGAGACTGCAATCCTGTAACTATCAGCAAGTCGAGTCCGTACAGAGTTAACGATATTAGCTCTTTCTATGAATCTTCCCGCAAGCAGTGTTGCAAGAGCTCTGGTCAGGTTTTTCTATGAATCTTCCCGCAAGGAGTGGAGCAAGTAGTCTGTTCAGCTCTTTCCATTAAGCTTCCCGCAAGCAGTGTTGCAAGTACTCTGGTCAGATTTTTCCATCGTCCCGCAAGGAGTGTTGCAAGTATTCTGGTCAGCTCTTTCTATGAATCTTCCGCAAGCAGTGTTGCAAGTACTCTGGTCAGATTTTTCCATCGTCCCGCAAGGAGTGTTGCAAGTATTCTGGTCAGCTCTTTCTATGAATCTTCCCGCAAGGAGTGGAGCAAGTAGTCTGTTCAGCTCTTTCCATTAAGCTTCCCGCAAGCAGTGTTGCAAGTACTCTGGTCAGGTTTTTCTATGAATCTTCCCGCAAGCAGTGTTGCAAGTACTCTGGTCAGGTTTTTCTATGAATCTTCCCGCAAGGAGTGGAGCAAGTAGTCTGTTCAGCTCTTTCCATTAAGCTTCCCGCAAGCAGTGTTGCAAGTACTCTGGTCAGATTTTTCCATCGTCCCGCAAGGAGTGTTGCAAGTATTCTGGTCAGCTCTTTCTATGAATCTTCCGCAAGAAGTGTTGCAAGTACTCTGGTCAGGTTTTTCCATGAATCTTCCCGCAAGCAGTGTTGCAAGTACTTTGGTCAGATTTTTCCATCGTCCCGCAAGGAGTGTTGCAAGTATTCTGGTCAGCTCTTTCTATGAATCTTCCGCAAGAAGTGTTGCAAGTACTCTGGTCAGGTTTTTCCATGAATCTTCCCGCAAGCAGTGTTGCAAGTACTTTGGTCAGGTTTTTCCATGAATCTTCCCGCAAGCAGTGTTGCAAGTACTCTGGTCAGGTTTTTCCATGAACCTTCATGCAAGCAGTGTTGCAAGTACTCTGGTTAAGTCTTTCCATGATTCTTCATGCAAGCAGTGTTGCAAGTTCTCTGGTCAGTTCTTTCCATGATTCTTCATGCAAGCAGTGTTGCAAGTACGCTGGTCAGCTTTTTCGATGCACCTTGAGAGAAGGAGGCACCTGGCTGTAACTAGAAGTTCTGGCCGGTTCACTTCACGCAGAGGAAAGGCAAGACGGGCGTATAACCAGATAGTGACCTGCACCATCAGTATTTGAACTCTGCGCCGGCTGCTGAAGATGAGGACGGAGCACGCATGGGAATGCCCAGAGTGCTCTGATATTAATTCTTGACTCAACTCAACTCTTTTCATGTATCTTCCCGCATACAATGGTGCAAATTCGTTGGTCGGTTTTTAAATTCACTTCGATAATTACATTAATTTGTGTCATCGACATTATAACAAGTAGTAAATAAACATTACCGTATCCTTGAGGAATTATCACAATTAACAAGGACTAATACCACCACAATTGTCATGTCAAATGGTCTGGTCACCTGACAGATATTATTCTGGTTCAAACCGCCAAGGTCAAGAAATTTACCGAACACCGAGCAAGGCGAAGACTACACAAATTATGGAACGACGGCATCAAAGATAGCCTTAAAAAAAGGTGCATCAACTTAAAGAGTGTATTGGAAAGTCCACATATACCATCCTTACATCTGTCTCTCCTAAATATCAGTTTAATAACTATGGTTGTCTGCATTCTTTGGTCATGTGTTGAGAAGAAGAAAACTGGAGTACATCGTGACAGTAGGAAAGTTGGAGCGGGGGAGAGGCAGGGGTAGACAGAGAACAGACGCTGGACAGTTTGACATCATGTAATAGTTTACCGTGTGTGTAGCCAACTTATCGTGTCCAACTACTTCCCTCAACGACAAACATGGTGGCGACTTAGGCGTTGGAGTCTCTAGCAACTGCCATATGCATTGACTGTGTGCACATATTTCTGGAACGGAGCAAGTAATGGGGAAACCTGACAGCAGTGAAGTTGCTAAAACTAAGACAATGTCCCAAACAACGCAATGTGTTTTCTTACATTTTAGTTGTCAGAGAATATAAGAAATCTGGCAATTAAATTGGCCATTTCCTCTTCGTTCAGCATTATGTTAGCTTTCCTAATTTGTTCGCAGCGTAGGCATTAGCTGCCAAATCTTCTAGTTCTGAAAGAGTTTAATGATACTCATGATGAAACGTAATTCGCAGGAACGGCCTTTTGTAATGAAACGCAACGAGCCGTACAGCAACTCAGAGAAAAACGATGAGTTCGAAGGTTTCACTATAGACCTCATCAAGAGACTTTCGGAGGAGCTGAAGTTCGAGTACACGATTTATAGAAGCCCTGACAATCAGTATGGGACCAACCGCTCGGATGGTAGCTGGGACGGCATGGTTGGAGAAATTATTCATGGGGTAAGACAGATATTTATAATCACTTTGGCTCGCAGGTCGACCCAGCCTTAAAGGTCATTAGGTATAATCCTGAGAAGTAAAAGCGACCGGTGGGATGAGGACCTCACCACCCATCGAGGGCTGATTGGTCTATTAAATATAGGTCTAGCTAGGTCTAGCCCTATATGCCCAGTACATATGAAGGCTAGGAAAAGAGTGCTTTACTTAATTAAGACCTATTTGTGACATTTATTCAAAATACGAACAAAGATACTGAACAAAAAAGAGGGGAGGAACTTCGACAGAAGTGAGAGTGGGAAGAGAAGAACAGGATGAAGATAAGTGGTAGTTGGGTACCAGTAGAAGCAGTAATAAGTGTGGTAGTAGCTGCGGTTGTATTGGTTGCAAGATGTAGAAGTACTGACGACGGTATCAAAAGAACTAATTAAAAGATCAAGGGGTGCCGCCCCAAAGAAAACAGACAGAGGGAGGTCTCAGTTCTCTTATAATTATGTACAGGTGAGGGAACATAGTGCTTATTAAGCCATGGTCAAATTCATAATTATTATTATTTTGAAATCCTAAATGACAAAAGCAGTATACAACGTTTATCCCGAGCTTCAGATCCTTAAATGGCCTTATATAGTAGGAGTTGGCTCCTCCCGGAAGGAAGCCTGACTTATATAGTAGGATCGGGAGGAACGCGGGATGTAGCAGTACTGATGGCGATGTGAGTGAAAGAAATTAGCGGCGCTACCCTAAAGAAATCATAGAGAGAAAAGAGAAAGAGAGAGAGAGAGAGAGAGAGAGAGAGGGGGGGGGGGGTGGATAGTCCCCTTATAATATTGTAGGGGCTTTTGCGTCAAGAGGCTCCAGTTTTGTTTTAATGCGTAAAAAATTATTATAATTATTACTATTATTACATGCTAAATGACAAAAAATTCTAATACTGAAATAAATTGAGTAGCCGCTGTGGTGTAGTGGCTAGAAGCTTGCCGGCACGAAGATCGTGGGTTCAAGTCAGCAGGGTGCCGAATTTCGTTTCAAACATGACTTTGGCACCCAGGTCGACCCAGCTTCAGATTTGTAGCAGGGAAAGTCCTGGGTAGTAAATGCGACTGGCGTAACATTGGCTTTATTACCCATCGTGGATACTGATCAATACGAAAGGTTAGTTGGCATCAGACAGGGCACATCAGAGACCAATGTTATTCAGATACAACGGTTACAGCACTAGAGGTCGACCATGCAGAAAATGGACCGCAGAAATATCAGAGACACTGACAAGTACTTAAAACGAAGCGAACAGAAGGGTCTGTTCCAGAGATATATTCCTGCCCCGACGCTGCCAGGTATTCCAGGAGTAGGGAAAAGAATAATAATAAAAGGAAATTATTTTTTTTTAATAGTATTTTTGTATGATCTCAGTAATTATTATTTTTTTTTTTTTTCAAAGGCTAACCTATGGAAAATTAACACCTGTGAAATGAGATGCCTGTGAAAAGCTAACTTAACCAGCCGAGACAAAACTAGAAATTATCAGACATTCTGTTGCAACAACAACATGCAGCAAATTCACTGAGAAACAGCAGATCCAATGGTTTTGACAACTAGTAAGAATGCAGCCAGAACAACTACCAGTGCAGATGCTATACGTGAAAAGATCTGATAAGAAATCAAGAAGTCGCTCTAGGAGCATAACGATTAATGACATTAAAGAGCGCCTACATCTGCATGAAATAACAACAGCCATTGTGGCCTTCCAAGTAATGGATTGCAAACTGATCCTCCCCATGCCGCTTACCGACAGAAGTGAAATATGATTATGGTTATGACTAATTCTCTTTCTGTTTTTTTTTAATCCACTGTGATATGCGAGGGAAAGTCAATAAGTAAGTCACAAATGGTTGTTTAAAATAAAACAAATAAAAACTAAAGATAACAACTTGAAAACCGTTTATTTTTACACAAACACTATGCACATAATTTTCACCAACATTGATGCACTTGTCCCATCGTTTGATCAGTCCTTCCAAACCTGCTGCATAGAACTGCGTGCTCTCTTTTCTAAACCACATTTTCACTTCACAATTAACTTCTACGTCATTCACGATATGTCTTCCACCAAGGTGGCTTTTTTAGTGGACCAAAAGGATGGCAACTGAAAGGGGCTAAGTAGGGGCTGTAAAACGGATGTTCCAGAAGTTCACACCCTATGAGGGTACAGTCGCCAGTAAATAAGTACAGTCGCCACTTTGCTTATGTGTTGCAAAGGCGCATGCAACACCTAGCGCCACCTTGCGAACGAAGACATAAGTTTCGATGATGCTGTCACCTAATGACACGTTTAGAAACTACCAACTACATTTTCCCACCATCCCATTACCATTTGTGACTGACTTGTTGACTCTACCTCGTATATTGTTGATGTGTGGTGGTGGTTGGGGGATGGGAGAAGTGGGCAAGGGTGGGGGGGGGGGGGGGGGAGACAGAACAAGAAATTACGTCCAGTTTTTATATTTCAAATGTCTACCAGAATGCGACGTTGGCTTGTGGGTCCATCTCGATAACGTCGAGCCGAGAGGCGGTCATTGACTTCAGCCTAGGTGTCATCAGTACGGGCATCAATATACTGGTTAAAAAACCGGAGGAGAGCTTCACCATCTTCCAGGTACATTTGGTTTAAAGTCATTTGTTATCCTGGATATAGGGTGGTTGGTTTTTTTGGCTGGTTGACTGGTTTTTGTTGTTATTGTTTTTGTTGATTAAGTGGCCTGTTTGTTGGTTGAATGGTTGGTTAGACGGTTGGCTGGAGGATTGATTATACTGTTGGATGGTGGTTGGCCGGATGCTAGTTGGATGGTTGGACTGTTGGATGGCTGACTGAATAGTTGGTTGCACTGTTGGAAGGTTGGTTGGCTAGATGGTTGATTGACCGCATTTTGGTTGAATGGTTGGTCAACTGGACTGTTGGATGGTTTGCGGGACTGTTAGACTATTGGATGGTTGATCGGACTGTTGGATGGTTGGTTGGACTACTGGAATGATGGTTGGACTACTGGATGGTTTGTTGGACTGATGGATGTCTGGTTGGTTGGAAAAAAGGTTGGATGGCTGGGTGGACTGTTGGCTGGTTGGTTGACCGGATATTAGTTCAATAGTTTGTTGGAGTGTTGGATAGTTGGCTAGTGGCCTGGACTTAGATGGTTAGCTAGTGGATTGGATTATTAGATGGTTGGCTAGTGGGCTGGACTGGGTGGTTGCTTGGTTGCATTTCTGACTAGTTGGGCAAAGAGAACTTACAGGAAAGAGCTTTGATTTCGGTTGTTAACTCAGCTCATTTGCCGAATTATAATCGTCTTGCTTCTGGCAGTTCATGATGCCATTCTCATTGGAGCTCTGGATGGCTATTGTTGGGGCAACGGCCACAGTGAGTCTGGTCTTCTTCGCCATGGACTATGGCAGCGAGGACCGAAGGTTTACTGTCAGGGTAAGTTCTTGACAACTTCTAGGACCCATTGAAGGATACTGCTCTAATTAGAAAGAACTCGGTCCCTTGTCAGTTATTTTTCTAGAAATAGCCAAAACTGTACTGTTTAAACAACTGTTACACATACTCGTATTACTGTGCAAATATTTTTTTCCGTCACCTTATGTTATTATGAACCAGTTCTCTGTGATGCTCTTGTCTTGTAGAATATAGTAATAATTATTATTTCTCACTTCATCTCTTCTTCTTCTTCTTCTTCTTCTTCTTTTTCTTCTTCTTCTTCTTCTTATTCTTCTTCTTCTTCTTCTTCTTCTTCTTCTTCTTCTTCTTCTTCTTCTTCTTTCTTCTTCTTCTTCTTCTTCTTCTTCTTCTTCTTCTTCTTCTTCTTCTTCTTCTTCTTCTTCTTCTTCTTCTTCTTCTTCTTCTTCTTCTTCTTCTGTTTCTTCTTCTTCTTCTTCTTCTTCTTCTTCTTCTTCTTCTTCTTCTTCTTCTTCTTCTTCTTCTTCTTCTTCTTCTTATTCTTCTTCTTCTTCTTCTTCTTCTTTCTTCTTCTCTTCTTCTTCTTCTTCTTCTTCTTCTTCTTCTTCTTCTTCTTCTTCTTCTTCTTCTTCTTCTTCTTCTTCTTCTTCTTCTTCTTCTTCTTCTTCTTCTTCTTCTTCTTCTTCTTCTGTTTCTTCTTCTTCTGTTTCTTCTTCTTCTGTTTCTTCCTCTTCTTCTTCTTCTTCATCTTCTTCTTCTTCTTCTTCTTCTTCTTCTTCTTCTTCTTCTTCTTCTTTTTCTTCTTCTTCTTCTTCTTCTTCTTCTTCTTCTTCTTCTTCTTCTTCTTCTTCTTCTTCTTCTTCTTCTTTCTCCTCCTCCTTTTCTTCTTTTGCTGCTGCTGCTGCTGCTACTAATACTACTGCTGCTGTTGTTGCTTCTGTTTCTTTCTCTTCTTCTCTTGTTCTTCTGTGGATTTTTCCTCGTTCACATACACGTTCAAAAGCATCGACTGCAATGACATCTGAGGTGTGAAACTGCACCCGGTACCCACCCGAGTCTGGGTCCACCTGGGAGTTCATGGTCATTTTTGAAGAAGAAAAAAAAAAGTCATTTGGTATATAAGACTAGATCTATATTTTATAAACCAAACTGCACTGGTGAGTGACGTGGTCAGCATCACGCCGGCAGCCTTAATTTCCCAGGACTACAACTGGTACCCACTCAACGCTGGCCTGACTTCAGAGCCAACGTCATTTTTGAAAAAGTCCGGTCTCCGTCACGAACCGAACATACGACCTTCCAATCCGTAGGCGAGCGTCTCTTTTCCCTACTTGGACCTGGTTAAGGCTCATTAGGTTTGACTTGTACTAAAAATCTGTCCAAAGAACTTTACTTCTGCCTTCTCCTCAGGGTATTTCGGAAATGTGACGCTGTGTGGTCAATCCAGACATGCTGTGGCGGCTTGCTGGGCTTTCGTGCTCCATTCGGGGTGCTATCTCTTTGCAAAGTCACTGACATCTATTTGTGGCCTTATCTTTAGAGAGGTAAACAAAAACGCAGAGCGGTGTCCTGGCTCATTTAGACTTTACTGGTTTTGTCACGATGGTCGTATTCCAAACAAAGGTCGGATTCCGCGCCAAAGTTTTCGCGTTTAAACAGGTCGTATACCAAGTTAAACGTATACCGAGCTGCCACTTAAACGTATACCGATCTTGGCTTCGCTAGATCGACCTAGCCTAATGGATACCTTGAAAAGTTTTAGGAATTAATTAAAGGCGGTCAGCGTGATAATGATAGGGTAACCATCTTGAGCTGCAAACTGGACATCCCACTAATATGTTGAGCTGAAAACTGGACATCCCACTAATATGTTGAGCTGAAAACTGGACATTCGACTAATATTTTGAGCTGAAAACTGGAAATCGTACTAATATCCTGAGCTGAAAACTGGACATCGTACTAATATCCTGAGCTGAAAACTGGACATTCGACTAATATTTTGAGCTGAAAACATGACAGCTGGCTAATATCCTG